ATTCATGTCAAGCTTCCCATTAACAAACAGATGATTTTAATAAAGGATGACGTTACTTTCTTGTTATGGATCAATTTGATTTGCCTTGCAGTCAAACAAAATAATTTCATTGTAGATAACTGCACCATAATACATCTGGAAAAAATACGTGGGTTATATGCTCATATTTAAAAAAGTGCCTTGGAAAGCAGTAATCACAGGAGAACATACAGAGAACTCTCTGAACAGGAGACCTTGCTGAAACAGTACAGCAAAAGGGATTAGAATGACCTTACAGGGGTCTGTAAAGGGGAATACAAAGTAGAAGGTAGAAAGTACAAGAATACTGAAGAGGGACTTTTTACAAGGGCATATAGAGATAGGACAAAGGGGAATGGCTTTAAACTGAGAGTGGATTTAGACTAGACATTAGGAAGAAAGTCTTCCCTGCGAGGGTGGTGAAGTGCTGGAACAGGTTGCCCCAAGAAGCTGTGGCTACCCCATCCCTGGCACTGTTGAAGGCCAGGTTGGATGGGGCTTGGAGCAACCTGGTCTAGTGGAAGGTGTCCCTGCCTATGGTGGGGGGGTGAAACTAGACGATCTTTAAGGTCCCTTCCAACCCAAACCATTCTGTGAATGCTTCCTAATTTGGTGTATCTGCTTGCAACATCCAAATACCGGAAAGTGTTCAAAGGAATGTCACAGAAAGTGGTCTTGATGCTGAAAATCGTATCATAATGCTTATAGCATTATATCATAATGCTATCACATTATGATAGGTGTCTTGCAGGGCTTGGGATATCCCGTTTCTTGAAGAGAAGTTTCACAGCTGATTTCATCCTGGAACCTGCAAATGGAAAACATATCCAAGAATAGGTGCTAGTCAATCTCTGTGAAAAGATTAGTAAGATCCAGTGACTGGAATTTTAATTCAGACACACAGAAAAAGAGATAAAACTGTTTTAGTTGCAAACAAGTCACACTGCTGTTTGATCTCACCACGAGTCACCAAATCACATATATGCTAAAGCTTTGATATCTCTGAATGTATCAGTTCCTCCATTCTTCTTGTTCCTTGGTGGGACATCATATGAAGAGTTTCCTGAATTGCTGTCAATATACCCATGTAAGACGTGCTGGAACAGTTTAGCCTCACTGGATTGTTGGGGTTTCACAAAGAAATACATGCACATTGCCAGCATGGCAGACAGGTCACAGTACATGTCCCAGCCTTACGCTCTGTGAAAGCATTACATGATATATAGAATTCAAAGAACAGAAAATTAGAAACTATAATTATTTACAGCAGTCGCTAACTTGCTGCCTAAATTAGGGCACTTAAAATGGGATATGTCTCTTCTAATCCTGTACAGCTGTGGCCACAGGCTCCCTTTCCAGTGAACAGGAAGAACTGAGGGAGTGGTTCACCTGGGCTACCTGACAGCCATCTAAAGGTAAACCACACACCATGAATGCTTGCAGTATAGGATTAGGTGAGATTAATCCAGCCACGTGCCTCAGCGATGAAACCTGTGAAGTACACAAAGTAGTATTTCTGACATAATTACTTGGGCATTAGGCTGATAACAAATTTGTCTTGGAGTTAATAGGAGGACTCTCTAATTCAAGGCCTTTTGGCACACACAAGCCCTGGCATCAGATAGACTGAGACTAGCAGGGGGATCAGCATTAACAAAATGAAAGCATTAATTTGCATGCCTAACATTTAACTATTCTTTTGAGGTGTAGCTGCGAATGCGCTCCTCCAAAAGGTGTTTATCTAGGCACAAGCAGCACCAACTGACTCCAGTGAATCACAAAATCCTTTAGCTTGGAAAAGACCAATGATGATCTTGAATCATCAAGTCTAACTGTTAACCATGCACTGATAAGTACAACACTAAACCATGTCCCCGAGCACCACATCTAGACATCTACTAAATACCTCTAGGGATGGTGACTCAACCACTTCTCTGGGCAGCCTGTTCCAGTGCCTCACAACCACTTTGGTGAAGAAATTTCCCCTACTCTCCAATCTAAACCTCCCCTGCTGGGAAGCACGGGATAGGAGCAAAGAGACTGCTGGTGTGCAAGGCAGTTTTCAGCAACTTAACATGGCAATACCCAACTGTTACTTGGCCATACTTGAGTATCTGGAGTGCTGTGGGGGCACTGAGAGCTGCCACTCCCTGTAGCAGGATGCACTTTGCAAAGGGATTTTTAGGCAGGGAGGCACCTTTTATCAGCCTAACCCCCCCAAAAAAACAACCCCAAAACAAACAAAAAACAAAAACACCACAAAAGAAAACCACAAAAATCCCCAAACCAAACAAATAAAAAAACCCAAGCCCAAACCAAACCACCCCCCCCCCCCCAAAAAAAAACACCCCACAAAACCCAGCCACAAACCTAACAATGGAAGATCTTCAGATCTTTATAGACTATCAGCCTACAATTACACTAAAACCTAGCATATTCTGTTTTAGGTAAGTGTGGGAGCTGCAGACCATGTGCCACGGTAATGGGCTGAGAACGGGCACGGCCACACCTTGGTCAAAACCCCACGGGTACTGCCCACATGAAGAGTAGCTGCCTTCAGTAATAGCCTAAGGAATGGCCACGGTTGTTCACACACTGTTTCGTTACCCGCGGAAGATGCGGAGAGGAAGAAAGGCCGCCGGACAGGGAGCGAAGCAGGGATGAAGGCACGTGGGGCATGGGAAGATGATTTCCCCTTAGGAACCCAGCCGAGACCCCTCACAGCCAGGCGGGCACATAGCATCCGCCACTGCTCTCTCGGGCAGTAACGGCCCCGAAGCCAAACCCCAAGGAAGGGCTGACCAGTCTGCACCGCCGCCGCCTCCACCTCCACCCGTTCCCAGCCGGGGTCCGCGGCGGGGGCGGGGGCAGCGGGCAGGCACCTCCCTGAGCGGCTCCCCCGGTCCTGACGGCGCTTCCGGGCGGGGGAGCCGGGATGTGCGTCCGGGTTGGGTCGGCCCCAGCGAGCGGTTTCCTCTCGCCTTCCCTCCTTCCCCCATTCCTTGCCTCTCTCCCTACCTCGCCGTCGCTGAGGTGGAGCTGCCGCCGAGCCCTCTGAGGGAGCGCAGCCCGCCCTGCTCCTGCAAGGGAACGGGTTGGTGTGTGGGGCCGCAGGCTGGAGGGAGGGAATCGAGGCGCTGGCCGGCGGCTGGGGGAGCTCCGGGGCGGGAGGGCGCTGGAGCGGTGCGGGGCTGGGGAGGCGGCGGGTCGGGCGGTGGAGGGGCCGGGGCTGCGGGAGAGGGGCAGAGCCCCCGCTCTCGGTGTGTCTGTGGCGGTGGCTCCCCCCGGCCGGGGCTGGGAGGTGGCCGCGGGCAGGTCCCGGCAATGCGGAGCCGTTGGTGCAGAGCTGGCGCGGGGTTAGCGGTGTTTGCCGAATACCCGATAAAAATGTTCGTGCACTGGTGTTCAGTGCAACCAGACACGTTATCTGCATAGCGAGCGGGAGCGAGGGTATCGGGTAGCCCAGCTCTTCCGGCACGGGGCGCTTGTGTGAGGGCAAAGTCTTAAAAAAAGGTGTATTTTCCCCTTTGAAAGGGGCTTACTTACCTCCTGGGGGGAAATCTGCCACTCTGCAGATGCAAAGTGTTACTGTGATGATATCCTGGCACAGCAAAAGGGAGGGGAAGCCCAGCTTTGAACAGGTAGACAGCGATGCAGTTGTAACAAGAAGGGCAACGAAGAGAGACTTCAGGGCCTTGGGATGACTGGTAAGGGATCAGGAGCACAAGAAGTGGCCTCCTCTATCCTGCCAGTTGCAGGGAATGAAGAGGGAAGAAACAGGCAGAGCCGCAGATCAACACCTGGCTCCGAGCCTGGTGTCACCAGCAGAATCTGGGGTTCTTTGGTCGTGGGTTGGTCTACAGGGCAAGGGAAAGAGTCCCTGAGATTTCTGGCATGTGTGGAAGATAACTTCCTGACACCGCTGGTGAGAGAGCCAGCTGGGGAAGGCCAGACCTGTTATTTCTGCACAGAGAAGGACCTGCGGGCAATGTGATGGCTGGATGCCACCTTGGGCGTATTGATCATGAAATGGTAGAGTTTTTGATTCTTGAAAAAATGATGAGGGGGTCAGCAGAGCTGGTCAGCATTCTCCTGTAGAAACTGGCTGTAGCTTGGTTGGGTGTACAGTTTGCTGGCTAGAAAACTGTCTGGATGGTCAAGCCGAAACAGTGGTGGTGAATGGAGTTAAACCCAGTTGGTGGCTGGTCACAAATGGTGTTCTGTACTTGGGCCAGTTCTGTTTAGTATCTTTATCAATGTTCTGGATTGAGTGCACTGTCAGTCAGTTTGTAGACAACACCAAGGTGGGTGGGAGTGTTGATGTGCTGGAGGGTAGGAAGGCTCTGCAGAGGGATCTGCACAGGCTGGATTGATGGGCTGTGGCCAGTAGTATGAGGTTCAACAAGGCAAAGTGCCAGGTCCTGCATTTGGGCCTCAACCCCAGTGCTACATGCTTGGGGAGAGTGGCTGCAAAGCTGCTTGGTGGAAAAGGACCTGGGGGTGCTGGTTAGCGGCTGAACATGAACCAGCTTGTGCCTAGGCAGCCAAGAAGGCCAGTGGCATCCTGGCCTGTATCAGCAACAGCATAGCCAGCAGGCCCAGGGCAGTGATCATCCCCCTGTACTCAGCACTGGTGAGGCCACACCTTGAATCCTATGTTCAGTTTTGGGCCCCTCACTACAAGAAAGACATTGAGGTGCTGGAGCAGGTCCAGAGAAGGGCAACGGAGCTGGTGAAGGGTCTGGAGCACATGAGGAACAGCTGAGGGACCTGGGGTGATTTAGTCTGGAGAAGAGAAGGCTCGGGGGGACCTTAATGCTGTCTACAGCTACCTGAAAGGATGTTGCTCAAGGTCACTTAAGCAGCCCATGACAGAGATGGAGATAAATTGTACTGCGCGATTCCTGATGTGTGTGATCATCTTTCCTCTTGCTTTCGTTTCACATTGTTTTCCTGCACATAGCTGTTTACTTTGTTTACAGAATCAGCTGTTTCCTGAATAAGCCAGAGTCACCTGAGACACAAAGATGTTGGAAGAAGATATGGAGGTGGCTATTAAGGTGGTAGTAGTAGGAAATGGAGCTGTTGGGAAGTCCAGCATGATTCAGCGATACTGTAAAGGGATTTTTACAAAAGACTACAAGAAAACTATTGGTGTAGATTTCCTGGAAAGACAAATCCAGTATGTATTAAACAGCTGCTGTGCTATTGATTTTTACCTTTCCCTTTCTTTCTTTGTTCTGTTGCCATCCTGAGATATATGAGGGCTTGGAAGACAAAAAGGCCTGCTGCTTTTGAAGCACAGTAAAGGGAGTTGTTTTCTCTTTGCATGTGGGCTAAAATTATATCACTCTGTTTTCTGTCCAAGATTTAGAATTCTAACTAAAATTCAGAACCTCTGTTGTACTAAAGAGTTTTAACAAGTTTCCTTTGTATTCTACTGCCTGTTAATTTTTTGGGGTTTTTTAATTGTGGAAGAAATAGAGGTGCTTTTGATGAAAGGATAATACAAATTTATTAGTCAATATAGATAAAAATTACTGTGGAAAAAGAAATATGCTATAGATTTAGTCTGTATGCAATATAAGCAGGCCATTCCCAGTTGTGTTTGATAAAATGGAAAATGAGAAGTAAGAAAATTCTATAAAGCCTATAAGATGATTAAAAAGACAAAAGGGCCATTATTCAAGTACCTAAGTTTTGTTTTGATGTCTAGGAAAGGAAGAGGAATATGTAATACAGATTGTCAGTAAAGAGCTTATAATGTACTTGAGGGACTCCTGCTGTAGTATGTTACAGAGGTGAACCATCATTAATGTTAAATTAAATTATATTTAAATCAAGTTCAGTTTGACTTGGATTATTCTGCCGTTGTAGAAATTGAAGTATTTCCATGTTGTTTTGAATAAGTTTTGTTCACTGTATGGATTAAAAAAATGTGCTGTTTATTTCAGAGTTAATGATGAAGATGTCAGGCTAATGTTATGGGACACTGCAGGTCAAGAAGAATTTGATGCAATAACTAAAGCCTACTACAGAGGTGAAAATACCATGTTTGTCGTTTCCCAGTTTGTTTGCACATCTCTGAAATATTTTCCTATCTTTGTGTTGTGTTAGTTATTCCATGTCTGTGCACAGCATGTTTAGTTTGCCTTTTTTCAATTCTTAAATGTTTTTCCCCTTCATGCAAAATCCTTGTCTTAATTAAATGCCACTTTATGCAGGATGATCAGCAGTGCCCTTTAAAAATCATAGACCAAAATGAGACAAATGCCTCTGCAGAAACTGCACAGAACATAGCCATTCAAACAGTCAAACACAAAGTTATGTTTTCCCTCTGGAAGTGTGTTATTACTTCTGTAAGAAATATTTGTAAATATTCCAAAAGTTATGGCTGAGGCACTTAGAAATTAATCCAAGGGGAAAAAACCCACCAGTCATCTTAGAAAGATAGTTTACTAGGCAGGATAGTTCTCTTGTTAGTACAGGCTGCCTTGAACATGTTAACACAACAGAGTGATAAAGAAAGTCTTTACTTCATGAAACAGAAGTGGTATTACTCAGTCTTATAAAGGCAGTCCATCTATTTAGCCAGTTTACAAATCACGTGCTTAGGCTTTCTTTGCATATAACAGTGGTTGTGAAAATCTTGCCTTTTTGGTTTTTAACATGGGAAATATGAACAACTTAGCAAAGATCCTATGATTCAGTTCTTGACAAACTAATTACCCAATGGCTAGGAAAAAGACTGAGTTATTTTTACTGTCCCTGTCCATTGCATTCTATGTATACTATATATAGATTGAATAAGGAAGTCTGATGATGTAAGTCACCCCCTTATTAACTACCATATGGTAGAACTTTGCCCTCTGAACTTATTATTGCCCGGTTATTTCCATGTTTTAGAGTTCAGAAGGAATGGGTGGAAGGAGAGAGGTGAAGTCGAAGTCTCTTAGAGTGGTAACTTCACAATAGATTTCTTAGTCTTAAAAAACTGAACAAGGTGACGTTTACTGATGGTGAGAGTCTTAATAAATATTCTCATTTCTCGTAGAGCAAAGAACTTGGGAAGCTTTATTAAGCTGGTCTGCCAGATGCCAAGTTAAATTAAATTCAGCATCAAGAAATACAAACTAACCTGGTTTGGAAAGAATAATTAATTTTATACCTATCTCACAGGATTAGAATAATTGCATACATTACAATATGGTGTGGACAATAGGGAAAACACATAGAATTTTAGAACACAAATAATAATGAAAATTATGGAAGACTACATTACTACAATTTTATTGGTAGAACTTGATTTGAAATTGAGGGTAGTTCTTATTCTGTATTCGTACTAGAAGGATCCTAGTAGCATGTGAAGGAATTTGAAAGAACATAGGGAGAGTTTTGTAAAGATAGACTGAACTTGGTTTTTAAAAGCTAAATAAAAGGAAACCTAATAAAAGACCTTGAGTGCTTTCTGTCACAGAAATACAAAGACAAACAGAATACAGGAATGGGGGATACTTGATGAAATTCAAGAGATACAAAAAAAATTCATGCTGATGAAATAATTTTTCATTCTATGTGTAATTAGTTTGTGATACTCACCACAAGATGACACTGGTCTCAAAGATGTCAGCTGTCCATTTCCTTTACATTCTGTTACTAAAGAGCAAATATGCTGAAGGCATATAAACAATAGTGTTTGTGTGTTCATATGCAAAGAAAAGTAGTTTCATGAGGATAACAAAGGGCTACTGAGTGTCAAAATCCACTTACTAATCAGCTGTGAAAGTAACTTCTCAGTATTGATGGGTTTAAACTGTTGTTTGTTAAGGCTGTTACAAAATCATAACAAAAATGGTATAAAACACTTTCTTTAATTTATCATAGTGCTGTGATTGAACGAGTATGAATTAGAAATACACTTATTTTCTCCAAAAAGCTATGAAAAAGTTTACTTGAAGTAATCACAACTCCCTCTGAGAAAAAAAAATTCTGCTTTTCAACATCAAAATTACTGTAGCACAAAGAATAACTTGCAGTGTGCTTTACCGATCCTGCATGCAGAAAAATACCTGGCCACCGTTGTCTGGAAAACAGTGAACAATAAGCAAACATCTCTTTCCCTTTTTTCCAGCCTTTCCACACCCATCCTACTCCTTCCCCTGCATATATGCAGCATGCTGGAAATAGCTTGAAAGGTAACAGGCCTGTAGCCATCATGAAGGATGGGTATAATGATCAAAATAATATGGCGATCTATTTTCATTTGGGTAGTATATGACCGTTGCTTTGACACAAGTCACCACTTGTGGTGGTAAAAGTGTACTTTTATGGGAGAAACTTGAAAACCCCTCATATTAGAAATACTTCATAGATAATTTTGTTCATTTGTTGGTTGGTTGATGTGTATTTATTTGTATTTGTACTTGATTTGTATATTTTTAGGAGCCCAGGCTTGTGTTCTTGTGTTTTCTACGACTGACAGAGAGTCCTTCAAAGCAATCCCTGCCTGGAAGGAAAAAGTTGTGACTGAAGTTGGAGACATTCCCACAGTTCTTGTGCAGAATAAGATTGATCTTCTTGATGACTCTTGCATAAAGAAGTAGGAGTTTTATCTTACTGTTTTTAAAGCACAATATATGCCCCTTATATGCATACATTTAAAAATATATATATATATTTATGGGAGTTTGTGATGGAGACTTACGGTTGTCAAATCTATACCCTGCATTGAAACATGCCCTAGGAGCACAGGTGACAGGTAATGCTGCATGAGTGTAGTTGCTTGGGCAGATGTGCTTGCAAAACTAGGAGCTTTTTGTTTGCTTCATGCCTTCCTCTGAAGTGTCAGCCAGAAAAACAGAGGAATAACACGACGAGTTTGGTTATGCCATGATAAGATTCTTTCTGTCATTTTTCTCTTTTTTTAATCAGAAATTCTAAACCTGTAAATTTTCTCTCCTGTTAAAATTTACAGATACTGTTAAACTCTGTTATGCACCAGTGCAGTTACGTTGTCTAATTTGCCTAGTGAATGCTTGCTAAAATGATGATGAAGTATTAAACAGGATGTTTAGAAAAGTAACAATGTTCTTTGCTTCACTTTAATTTGTTTTTATTGTTCATTTTTAATTAAAACATTATAACTCTGTAGAAATCCATACCTGGTAATATTCTCCAACTGCATGGTGTTGTGCCTTCTTCACTGTATTTTTCTTTACAAATGCTACTGTTGATTCATTCTGCCTTTGTATATATGACCAATTTCATTCGTGCCATCAAATCAGCCTAACAAATGCTAACTTTCATTTACCACAGCATATCATGTAGAAAATATTGCACGATGAAGTCGATCATTCTCCACTTCTTTGTTTCTGCCATCTTCCTAAGTGATTTAAATTATTTCTTCTTTTTGTTGTTTCCTGCACTGGCTTTCTTTATTCTCTGTTTGCTATCATTGATGACATAAATCAGCTTCTACTCCCTCTGCAAAGAATTCTGAGGATTTTTCAAAGGAAAAGCAAAATTGCATTTGAACTCCTTCTTTATTCATGGTATGTCACTTAGGTTTCATTCTCAGAATACTCCGTCTGCCTCAGTATCACCATCTGTCTGATGACGTGATTTCCCTTGGTGAAATTTTCATAAGTTTCCTCAACTTTTCCTTAACTTTTCTTTCACCTCACAAAGTAATCCTTCATTTCACCTCTGCACTCATCTGATGAGTCTACTGCTTCATTAAAATATACTTAAGGATTACTCTTTTGGTTGTTTTGACTTTGCAGTAGTAATTTTTCTGATTCTAGTGCTGTTAATTACAGCCTTTTTCCTTTTGGTTTCACTGACACCTGTCTTTGAATCCTTAGGAAATTTTAGTTAATGAAGTCAATAAGTATTGAAAAGCAATTATTTCTGGTCATAGAGAAACTGCATGTAAAATACCATCTTTTTTATAGTGGAAATACTGTAAACAAATTAAGGGACACCTACTTTTTGACTGAGTTTCTCAACCCACTTTGCCATGCTTAACTTGCCAAGAAGCATTTTGTCTGTAAGAATAAATGCTGACAAATAATACAAATTAGTATTTACACAATCTTCTTGTGTTGTGCAGTGAAGAGGCAGAAGCACTGGCAAAAAAGCTGAAGTTAAGGTTCTACCGAGCGTCTGTGAAGGAAGACCTAAACGTAACTGAAGGTATGAAGTGCAGCAATGTTTGTCCCGCCCTCTGCTCTGCAGCGGGGAACAGTTCTTTAGTTTGGAGCTGCTTTGTTACTTTGCAGGTTGTTGCATGCTGTTGGCCTTTTGATTTCCCTTAGCGGCACACTTTAAACATAGCTGGAATTACTTGGTATCAGTGTTATTAGGCCTTTTTCCTTGTATATATCTTTCCTTTCTCTTCTGCAACCAGTGCACAGCTTTAATATTTAGAAGTGCCAATGTGTTAAGGCTGCTTTGTCCCTAATGACTGTCATAAAAGCACTGAGCTTCAAAAACAAAAAGTGTAAGTTCAATTACTACAATATACATATTGTTGAACAGACTATTCTGTAATTGTTATTAACTGATAGAAACACTTAATAGTTTAGTTAAATAAAGTACATTACAAGATTGGCTCTCTTGAAAGTGATATTTGACTAGTTCTTAAGTATCACTTTTAAGTGTATATATTTAATTTCATAATACTACTGTTACAGACTTTGGTCATTATCTTTGTGGGGTAGGTTTGAATAAATATGAGTCTCTGATAACTTTGCTTAATCAGGCAGACTTAATAGTAAACTAATTGTTTCTTCTCTGTTAACATTATTTACCTTGGGAGATGAATCTGGAAGAGAAAATGTAAAATGTTTCTGTATCTTTGCATGAGTTATTAATTACAAATATAAATAATCATAACACATATAGGTTCTGAAAATTCTCCTACAGCTTTTGGTTTGGTTGGATGGAGATTTTTTTTTCCCAGAATCCTAGGTAGACTTTTTATACCCCAATACAAACTAGGGTAGCATTACTTAATTAGAGCAATATTGCTGCCAAGTTTTATTAATAGACTTAACCTTACATGACTGCTATTATTCTAAGACTTCTTACAAAAAAGAAGTATGTTAAATTCCTATATAACTTTAAAAAGTTTCAGGTGGTATGAATTTGCACATTTGGCAAAATGTTATTTGCCAGCTTTATTATAGAAGTATTGAGATGTTTCTATGTGCTGTTCAAGAGCAGTACTGCAGGGTGTAAGACGTGGGTAGACTCTTGGATTAACCTGGATTCTGCTTAGGTACTCATGCATGCTGAGAGACCATCACTTAACAGATCATGCTAAACCTGTCACCACACAGAATTTTGATACAGAGACATTAGTATTGATATGAAGATTATATTTAAGCATACCTTTTTTTTATTATTACATTCCAGTTTTTAAGTACTTAGCTGATAAATATCTTCAAAGGCTCAAGCAACAGACAGCCGAAGATACGGAACTAGTACATACAAGCAGTAACAAGATTGGTATGTATACTGTTACAAAAAAAAACCAGAATCATTATTTTGTGCCATCACAGCTTATGGTTTTACCTGTTTCCTTATGGAGTTAATACAAGGTGAATCAGAGTCTGTTATGTTCCTATCTTAGGATATTGTCTTCTTTCCTTCTGTAAAATAACTTTATGACTCTAAAGTTACGCAACTGTTAAACTGATACTCTAAAGTCTCTAGCAAACTTTTGGCAAGCACCCTTTTATTAATTTTTTTTTAAACAAAGATTGTGTAAGGACTTGAGAAGGGGTGCTTGCTGGACTTTTTAATTTAATTAGTATCAGTGTTACTCATCTTCGTGTGGATTTACGCGGTGAAAGAATCTGGCATGTGATCAGAAGGTGTTTGTAAACTGCCTTTTCTAAGGGAATACCAAACTTCCATAGTCCTTCTTTAAAGCATTTCTGAGTTAGTTCCTTTATTTTCCTTTTTAAAACACTCCCCTTTTTATTCAAGCTTTTTCCTTACCTTTATCTCAGCAAAGTTTCCAACTTCAAAATTGTCATGTTTTTCTTTTATTACATTACTCAACTAACCGTAACTTTGTTACCATGCTATTAGTAGAATACACATGTGCAGATGAATGCATATGCTGCCCTTCAATTATATAGATGGAAACCTGCTTTAAATACTGCCTGGCTAGTAATTCCAACTGGCTCTCCTTCAAGTTTAGCTGCAAAATTGACTCAGAAGTAGGAAAAGCCGTTAAAAAAATAGAGTGGGTTTGAGGTGCCTTACTATGCAGTAGTAAGAGTTGTGTCTGAAGTGTTAATATATTGTGCAACAAGAAGTAAAGAAATACAAATACTTTTCTTGTCTTTAAATTCTGTAGGTGTTTTTAACACAGGTGGTGGAAGTGACTCCAACCAGAATTCTAGCACTCTTAATGGAGGAGATGTCATCAACCTGAAACCAAACAAACAGAGGACCAAGAAAAACAAAAGTCCTTTCAGCAACTGCAGCATACTTTAGACCACTTTGGGAGGAAAAAAAAAACAAGCCAGTGAATTGGATGAAGTTGTGCAATTGAATACAGAATAAAGCCAGCTGTAGAGGTATTTTTACCAGTGCTTTAGCAAATCTTGTGCCTATGGGATCCTTGAGAGAGGGTAGATTTATATAACCTTGCTGATGCAGTTGTTTTGAGTGTTCGGAGTGAGACACCTGGTGGCAAAACACAGAACCGCGGCTGCCCGTGCACTTCGTATAAATTAGGCAAGCTTCTTTTTCAAGGAATTATTTCCAGAGCTATGAATTAGGTATTGCTGAATTGCAAAGCGCATTTAGCACAAGGATAATACTTACAAGTATAGGTACAGACCGTTTGTCGTGGTTTAAAGCCAGCCAGCAGCCAAGTACCACGTAGCCACTTGCTCACTGCCACATCCTTCCCTCCTTCCCAGGTGGGATGGGGAGGAGAATCAAAAGACTGTAAACCCCAGGGGTTGAGATAAGAACAGTGTAATAACTAAAGTACAATATTACAGATAATAGAAATAACACCAACAGTAACAATACTGATAATAGTAGGGAACAAAAAAAAAAAAAGATAACTGAGGATTCAGAAAACCCAAGTGATGCACAATACAACCACTCACCACCCACTGACTGATATCCAGCCTGACCTGAGCAGCGATGTAGGCCTTCTGGCTAACTCCCCCCAGCTTATGTACTGGGCATGATGTGCTGTGGTACGGAATACCCCTTTGTCTAGTTTGGGTCAGATGTCCTGTCTCTGCTCCTTTCTGGCTTCTTGTGCCCCTCCTCACTGGCAGAGCATGAGACTGAAAAGGCCTTGACCGGGGCAAGCGCTGCTGAGCAACAACTAAAATACCAGTGTGTTACCAGCACTGTTCTCAGACTAAAGCCAAAACCCAGCACTGCACCAGCTACTGGGAAGAAAAGTAACTCTATCCCAGCTGAAACCAGGACATCGTAACACTATGGCCAAAGGTAAAGTAGCAACCTTGCAGCTAAATTTCAAACAAACATTAGAGTTGGTTAGACAGGACACTAAGAAGATATATGAAGATCAAAAGACGCTATATTTTATGCCTGACTATATTATAAAGATTCTGGCAGTTCTGTTGGTGCAATATATTTGTGTTACATATGATTGGTGAGGTATATGTAAACATTTGGTGTGAATATTTAGGCTAAATTCCAGTGTATTTGTTACTTGGGAGATCAGCCAGTGAGCATAAAATAGCATCTTCCAAAAAAAGTTCCCTTTCAAAATGTTGCATTTCAGATGAGGCTTTCCCAGCCACCACTGTGTATATTTAACTTGCTCTACTTTGGGCCTAAAAGCTTAGATTTAAAAATGTATGGTGCCAAAAATGCTCCTTTTTACTTAATGCAGTGCTACAGATGTTTTTATAATTTTGTTTTTCTCTGTCTTAACCAGTTGAACAAGTAACAGGGTCTTTGACACTAATAGATAATTAGGAAGAAACATATAATCATATTTCTCTTCAAATTCGGTTGTTGTATCCTGTGTTGTCTATGAAAAAGGAACTTGCAACATTGTGTCACAAGCCAGTTATCTTGCCTGGAAAATTGTTTCATAGATATCATAAACTAAGTCGTGGAGGATCCAAAAACCTTGCAGCTGGGTGACTGAATTACATTTGTGAGACATTCTTGAATGTCATCTCACGTTCAAAGTTAGCTGCTGGCTACACAAAATCTGATTCTGCAGGATCAGAGACATGGCAAAAATTGTTCAAAGTGCTTAAATAACACTACAGAATTGATTTAGATGTTTAGGAGTCCAAATCTAAATTCAAATAATACGGGCTTAGGCTCCTAAATCACCATGGTGCTGTTAAAAATGCTAAGCAAGGTATCTTTTATTGACCAAAAATAAACACTTTTTAATCTTCTCCAAGAGCACGCATGCCTTGTGAAAAGTATCCTTTTTGTTTACATGGTTTTGTATGGTATAGTTTTAACTTTCTAGGATTTCTACAACAAACCTGCCAGTGACAAATGCAAAATATGCTGCTTGAAGGAATTCAGAGTTTTAATAGTTTTGTAAGTGGTGTATGAGAGTGAAAATGGGTTGAGTGATCTATTTTTGGAGGAAGGACTTTTCACTGTGTGAATTCATGTAGAAAGCTTGACTTACTTTGTTACTAAGTCAGTGAGTGTGAAAACTGAAATGTGCTTTTTCCCACTGCCTGCAGGGAGAGAAGTGGTTGGTGAATTATGCACAAACAACAGAGATCTCTGAAATCTGTATTTAACATTTACTTATGTTAGACTTTCTACCGAGTACTGTTGTTTCTTTGACCAGCTGTTAGAGCATCTCCTGTTGCTGGCACTAAGGTGGCCTCCAAGGCACTTGATCCCCTTCGCTAGTGCAGCAAACTGTGTGTACTTCACTGTAATGTTTCCTATAATTTCTCCTGATAAAGGCCTTTGTTTTTTAACAAGTGTGTTTAATCCCTGTATGTACGTATACATGGTGGAGTCTATTGGTCTTCTCAATTTCAGAAGTAAGGTACTTAGCATAAGACTTACGATTGTACATCATCCGGCCACCTTACAACTTCAGGGTGTAGCACAGAGTGTATGTGTGAAGAGTTTCGACAACTGTTTTTAATGTGGAAACTTTCACATTTTGTTGTCTGTCTGCCACTTCCACCTTTTTTAATTCATTTTTCTTGAAACAAGCCACAGTGTGTCTGAAACATCCTTTTTGCCGTGTTTGACTTTGTACAGAGGACTGAAAAATGTCTGTATGACACATAATGACCATTTGTACTATTACGTGTTATACTGTAGATATCATATTATTACATAAGCCATTTGTATTTAAGGTGTGTCATTATAAACCACTTTTTTAAGGACTGAAAATGAGTAGAAATGTTTATAGGTGGAGACTTGACAGACTTGCAAAATTTAGGATATGTTGAAATTCAGAACACACATTATAACATAGGAATACAGACTTGCAGCACTGAGTAACAGTGAGCTTTCATTTCTTTCCATTCCATTCCCATTTTAAGTCTTTGTTGTGACTGTGCATTGATTGTTCTCCAATGAGAATGACTGAGGTGGAGACTGTCCCATTAGCATTTTCCTGGGGCGTGTTCTGCATGTGCTTTGCTTGAAAATATTGTTTTATCCTACTGGGGTTAATGTGGAGATGGAAACCAGATGACTTCTGCATTGCAGGAATCTTTAGGTATTCACCTCACTCCTCAGTGGGAGGGACTTTCTTTAGCCTTTTGGATGCAAAGGCACGCCTAGACATTTAGCACCCACGTCAATTTTTATTGCAAACACTGGCTTCTCCGCTCAAAGCATTTCATTAAAATACCAAATGTTTCAGTAATTGTTAAAGCCTTGGTGAAGTAAGCATGACACCAAAGCCCCTGTTGTTTCTGTGTTGTATCTATTCCGTGAATGGCTGTTCTGTCAGGAAGTGAAACATCACTTCCTGATGATGCAAAGCCGTAATGCTAGGGAAGTGTTTCCAACTGGAAATAAGGAATCTCAGAGTTGTAAGACTGATCACACTAGGATTTTTGTGCATGGGGGCATGTGTGGTTAATTTAGAAAATGAAATACTCCACTTCAGACAATTTTGGAGAAATGCTTACCTTTTTTAGTCAGAATGCCTGAATTACCATACTGTCAGTTGATTTCCTGTTTAATTTTTTTATGATTCAGTAAATTGTGTCATCTTTTTTTTTTTCCCCTCCATTACTGGGCTACACAATGTATCCAACACATAGCTTTCCCTTTGCGTCACTTCTGCAGTTCTATGTTATACTAAAGGGAACTGAGCAGCTGACCACGTTGTGCTCCCTGTAGTTACACAGGGGTACCTGCACAATACTGAGCATACATGCACTTTGAACCTCTTAATTCATCTTCTTCAAGTTGGTAGCTACCAGTTAATAACTGAATGAATGATTTGCGCTGCAGCACCCTCTGTGGGAATTCGGTCATAGAGCAAACTAACAAACATGCTGCTTGGATTCCAGTGGCACTACTTAGACCCCTGCTGCTTCTCTAAATGTAATCATAGACCTCTGGTTGAAGCTGCAATACCTGCACACTAATAGTGCATAAACCAGAGAGCAACAAGCTTGGTTTCATCAAAACGACCTTAACCATCTTCCTGTAGGAAGCAACAGTTGTGCCTATCTTCTTTTTAATGCTCAGACAGTATTGAGAGAAGAAAATACTTCTGTGTGAAATAAGGCATTCAAACAGGTAATGAAAATTAGAGAAGAAAAAATGCAGCAATGCTTAGATGTAAGGTGAAAGGTGCTGTAATAGAATTAAGAGAAACTTTCAAACACTTCTGTGTCACAGAAGTGCTGTATCAATCATTTCAAGGCCAGGTGAGTCCCACTACTGAACTCATTCTCAGGTTTCTGGTAGTAGGGTAATACCGATAAATAATTTGTGGATGAGTGTTCTTCCTTCTATTCCTGAGATTAATGTGGTTCAGCAGAACCAAATAAAATTGATCAGAAAAACCTGAATCTGGACCAGGAGAATTCTGCTGTCAGTGCAAGAGTGAAGGTGCATTGTTACTAATGAATGACTTACTCTTGTTTGCAAGTTCACATGAATCTGAATGGTCAAAACACAATGTTCAGAACTGGTTTTATCACTGTCATGATCTCAAATATATGTAATGACTTTTTTTTTCTAAAAATATAACATAACTTACCATACATCCTCAAGTGGAAAATAAATGTTTAAACCTGAATATTTTGTGTGTGCTGGTCCTGTAAAATCCCCAGAGGTAATTCTCTTGTTACAAGTTGCATTAGTTTTATCATGCAACTTAACTTAAACGTGTTTATTTTATCACTATTTGGTCTGATACAGGTCTTTCTTTTGTGGTCACATTCAATTGTCAGCCTATTTCATAAAATTGCTCTAACCCTGTACCTATGCAGCCTGAATCTGCTCAGAAAACTTGTGTGCCCAATCCTGGTCCATATGTTGGGAGCAGTTAGGATCCAGAGCAGCACATTAGGCACCCCCACCTAGCAGAAGGGCCATTTTTGAGCCCTTCACCACACAGTTCAAATAT